GAGGGGAAGTCAGAGGAGGAGGGGGGGAGAGGAGGAGGGGGGAGGGGAGGGGGAGAGGGGGGGGGAGAGGGAGGGGAACGTCAGAGGAGGAGGGGGGAGAGGGAGGGGAACGTCAAGAGGAGGAGGGGGGGAGAGGAGGGGAAAGTCAGAGGGAGGAGGGGGGGAGGGAGGGGGGGAACGGAGGAGGAGGAGGGGGGAGAGGGAGGGGAACGTCAGAGGAGGAGGGGGGGGGAGGGGGAGGGAACGTAGAGGAGGAGGGGGGAGGAGGGAGGGGAAGTCAGAGGAGGAGGGGGGAAGAGGGAGGGAACGTCAGAGGAGGAGGGGGGAGAGGGAGGGGAAGTAGGAGAGGGGAGGGGGGGAAGCATGAGAGGGGGGAGGGGGAGAGGGGGGGAGGGGGGGGAGGGGAGGAGGGGAGAGGAGGGAACGTCAGAGGAGGAGGGGGGAAGAGGAGGGGGGGAGGGGGAGGGGAGGAGGGGGGAGAGGGAGGGGAACGTCAGAGGAGGAGGGGGGAGAGGGAGGGGAACGTCAGAGGAGGAGGGGGGGAGGAGGGAGGGGAGGGGGGAGGAGGGGGAGAGGGAGGGGAACGTCAGGGGAGGGGGGGGGGAGGAGGGAGGGGAGAGGGGAGGGGGAAGGGGGGGGACGTAGAGGGGAGGGGGGAGAGGGGGGGAAAAGTAGAGGAGGAGGGGGGAGAGGGAGGGAACAGGGAGGGGGGGGGAGAGGGAGGGGGGAGGGGGAGGGGGGGGGAGAGGGAGGGGAACGTCAGAGGAGGAGGGCGGAGAGGGAGAGAGGAGGGGAGACGTGAGAGGAGGGGCGTCAGAGAGGAGGGAGAGGGAGGGAAGAGAGGGGAGAGAGGATGTGGGCGGGAACTAGAGGAAGGCGTGAAGAGGGAGGAACGAGAGGAGAGGGGCTAACAAGTGTGTTTAAGATGGACTAAGAGGAGAGAGAGAGAGAGATGGGGAGGAAGAGAGAGAGAGAGGAGAGGAGAGGGAGAGAGAGAGAGGAGAGAGGAGAGAGAGAGATGGGGGAAAGAGAGAGAGAGAGAGAGAGAGAGAGAGAGAGAGAGCGCGCAGTAGTGTCATGTGGTGGGTTTGTGGGAGAGAAGCAGTCGAGAGCGTAGTGCTGTTGAGATGAGAGAGCACTTCAACCACACAGACTGACAGTGTGTGTGTGCGCTCGCAGATTTTCACCAAATTTCTCCTGAAATAAAGTTAAGCAGCCCGAGTTTGTAGTTTGAAGCCATGTTAATATTGTAGTATTACAACATTACAGAGAGTATACTGCAGTATGATAATATTGTAGTATTACAACATTACAGAGAGCATACTGTAGTATGATAATATTGGTACTACAGCGATAGAGCGACTGAAGGCTGGTTTCCCAGACTCACATTAAACCTAGTCTAGTCCGGGAATAAACTAATATTTCAATGTAGTCTCATTTACATTGTACTTCTTTAAAACGGTCTATCCTCAGCAGAACACAACAGCAGCATTCGTGACATCATAATGCAGGTGCAGAAGAAGGCAGACCTCCTTTGTGGCGTCATAAAGCGTCCTCCAACGACGTCATAAAGAACACCAGTGCCATCCATGTTTTCTATATCTATGACAGGACCACGGTCCAGTACCATGAAAAAAACGTCGCAATAACACACATTTCTGGCTATTCCCAGCAGAGTAGCAACGTTTATTAAAAACAATACTGGAACCATAGATAGCTACGACAGGTAGCTTAGCGGTTAAGAGCGTTGTGCCAGTAACCGAAAGGTCGCTGGTTCTAATCCCCGATCTGACTAGGTGAAAAAATCTGCCGATGTGCCCCTTGAGCAAGGCACTTAACCCTAATTGCTCCTGTAAGTCGCTCTGGATAAAAGCGGTCTGCTAAATGACTAAAAATGTAAAATGTCTCTGAAAAGCTATGCTCGCTTGTTTTACTTTTCCTCCATTCATCTCAGCCTCTCTCTCCCCCTGCCTATACCATCACAAGACTAACTCGCCTATAGCACCTTCCATTCATGTTTAGAGAGTTGGGGTGTTATTGGTAATCTGCCAGTGGCTGGACATTGATCTAGTGAGTCTGAAGAGATAGCTACAGTATGTATTAGAGTTAGAACCCCCCCCACCCAGCTCACTTGGTCTCTCCCACCACCTCTGTAGCTCAATTGGTAGAGCATGGCGCTTCTAACGCCAGGGGTAGTGGGTTCGATCCCCGGGACCACCCATACGTAAAAATGTATGCGCACATGACTGTAAGTCGCTTTGGATAAAAGCGTCTGCTAAATGGCATATTATTATTATTATAACTGACTACTAACTAAAAACTACTGTTACTGTCAGTATTAATGTCAAAGAGCTTCAGAGACTGTTACTAACTGTCAACTAAAGCTGCTGCGGTCATATCTTTGATCTCAACATTCACCTCAACACAACGCTGTCATCATCCCTCATCCTGTCTGTGTGAGAGACGCATGTGACAGTACACGGCTAAGCAGTACTTTTAAAACACATCCATTTCCTACTCCAGTTATGGATAACAAGATCTTTTTAATATGCTGATTTCTTGAATTGATAGGTGGGGAGGTCTTCATGTATTTATGAATTATGCGCGGGTACTGTATGTGGTTGGCAACATTTATTTAAAACAAAGGAAACAGACAAATCTGAGAAAGATGTTAAAAGTTGTTCTTTGTAAAAGGTATTCTATAGACGGAGAATGGAAATATTGTTGTCAACTTGTATTGGTTCTCTTCTCTTTTGAACTGAAATAAAAAATCCGACATGTCAATATCCTGTCTAGGATGTACAGTTGAAGTCGGAAGTTTACATACACTTAGGTTGGAGTCATTAAAACTCTTTTTTTCGACCACTCCACACATTTCTTGTTAACAAACGATAGTTTTGGCAAGTCGGTTAGGACATCTACTTTGTGCGTGACACAAGTAATTTTTCTTTTTAAATTTTTTTTTTTACATACACTAAGTTGACTGTGCCTTTAAACAGCTTGGAAAATTCCAGAAAATGATGTCATGGCTTTAGAAGCTTCTGATAGGTTAACTGACATCATTTGAGTCAATTGGACGTGTACCTGTGGATGTATTTCAAGGCCTACCTTCAAACTCAGTGCCTCTTTGCTTGACATCACGGGAAAATCAAAAGCAATCAGCCAAGACCTCCGAAAAAAAAACTGGTAGGAGACGGGTTCAGTCTCCTAGAGATTAACGTACTTTGGTGCGAAAAGTGGAAATCAATCCCAGAACAACAGCAAAGGACCTTGTGAAGATGCTGGAGGAAACAGGTACCAAAGTATCTATATCCACAGTCAAACGAGTCCTATATCGACATAACCTGAAAGGCCGCTCAGCAAGGAAGAAGCCACTGCTCCAAAACCGCCATAAAAAAGACATTATGGTTTGCAACTGCACATGGGGACAAAGATCGTACTATTTGGAGAAATGTCCTCTGGTCTGATGAAACAAAAATAGAACTGTTTGGCCATAATGACCATCGTTATGTTTGGAGGAAACAGGGGATGCCTTGCAAGCCGAAGAACACCATCCCAACCGTGAAGCACGGGGGTGGCAGCATCATGCTGTGGGGGTGCTTTGCTGCAGGAGGGACTGGTGCACTTCACAAAATAGATGGCATCATGAGGAAGGAAAATTATGTGGATATATTGAAGCAACATCTCAAGACATCAGTCAGGAAGTTAAAGCTTGGTCGCAAATGGACAATGACCCCAAGCATACTTCCAAAGTTGCGGCAAAATGGCTTAAGGACAACAAAGTCAAGGTATTGGAGTGGCCATCACAAAGCCCTGTCCTCAATCCTATAGAACATTTGTGGGCAGAACTGAAAAAGTGTGTGTGAGCAAGGAGGCCTACACACCTGACTCAGTTACACAAGCTCTGTCAGGAGGAATGGGCCAAAATTCACCCAACTTATTGTGGGAAGCTTGTGGAAGGCTACCCGAAACGTTTGACCCAAGTTAAACAATTTAAAGGCAATGCTACCAATTACTAATTGAGTGTATGTAAACTTCTGACCCACTGGGAATGTGATGAAATAAATAAAAGCTGAAATAAATCATTCTCTCTACTATTATTCTGACATTTCACATTCTTAAAATAAAAGTGGTGATCCTAACTGACCTAAAACAGGGAATTTTTACTAGGATTAAATGTCAGGAATTGTGAAAAACTGAGTTTAAATGAATTTGGCTAAGGTGTATGTAAACTTCCGACTTCAACTGTAAATTAAATTTAACGTCGTCTCCCTGGAATGAACAAAGCGGACAGAGGGAGGTTACTATTGTGTGACTCTGACAATTGTACCATCACATCAAAATACCTGATCATCTCTGTTACCATCACATCAAAATACCTGATCATCTCTGTTACCATCACATTTAAATACCTGATCATCTCTGTTACCATCACATCAAAATACCTGATCATCTCTGTTACCATCACATTTAAATACCTGATCATCTCTGTTACCATCACATTTAAATACCTGATCATCTACAGAGGGTCATCTACAGATCCACGTGTCCAGTCATCAAAAGGTTAGCGGTCAAAACAACACATTGGAGGCTCACTGGCTTATGGCACAACAAAAGCTTCTGTACCCAGAGTACACAGGAGTGTGTCCCAAAATAAACACACGCACAAAAAAAACGGTTTAAAAGGTAGGGCCTTTTAGACAGATGTCTGTGTACTGTAGTTTGTTTAGACCCTTTGGTAAAAAAATAAAAATAATAAACAGTTAGATAAAGAGTTCCCCTAAAACCACAGGTCCTTGGTCAGAGAGGACGTCATCCTTCTAATAGTTCGAGTCAGACGAAGTGACGTAGTCGAGTCACTAAACACCCAGTCCAGCCCCGTGGTGTTGAGTCCAAGTCGGAGTCACCGCTGGTCGAGACCTGATCCCAGATCAGCAGTTGGAGGCTTCAGTATCCACCGACCACCACCCACCCAGTCCCAAAAGGTTAGAGGTCAGAGGTCAAAACACCGTGCAGCTGTTGATATCAAACATCCGTGGGCGCGTCCGTTTCCTGGCCTGGTTCACCGCTGTCCGCACCGCACACTCAAACACTTGTTGCACGCCGCGGTTGCTTAGCGACGAGCACTCCAGGTATCCCTTGGCCCGTACGTCCTGGGCGAGGCGTTTTCCCTCGGCGGCGGAGAAGCAGGATACGCGGTGCGACCCGGTATCGCGCTGGTCTGTCTGGGTGGCCACCACCAGCACTGGGACCCGAGGGAGGTTCTCACGCACCTAGAATGAGATTCAAATGTTTTTAAAAACCATTTTGTTATAGTAAAAAAGTTTTTAAACATGTATTGATACGCAATATGAAGCCAGAGTTGGGCTCAATTCAGTTTAAATTCAGTCAAGTAAACTGAAATTCTAATTCCAAATCTCTCTCACTTCTTCTCACAGTGAGAAAAGAAAAAATGGAATGGGAACTTCAGTTACCTTCCTGAATCGTCTCTATGATGTTTCACGTCTGTAAGAATATAAAAGGTTGGTGGTCTAGCGGTCGAAGCCGCTGTCTCTGGAGAGCGCGTTCTATGTTCCGCTGCCAGCACGGGTTGGAATCTGTCCCTGCTCTTTCAGCTCCCTCTCCTCTCCTACCTTTCAGCTTCCTCTCCTACCTTTCAGCCTCTCTCTCCTACCTTCAGCTCTCCTCCTACCTTCAGCTCCTCTCTCTACTTCCTCTCTCTCCTACCTTTCAGCTCTCTCTCTCCTACCTTTCAGCTCTCTCTCTCCTACCTTTCAGCTCTCTCTCTCCTACCTTTCAGCTCTCTCTCTCCTACCTTTCAGCTCTCTCTCTCTACCTTTCAGCTCTCTCTCTCTACCTTTCAGCTCTCTCTCTCCTACCTTTCAGTCTCTCTCCCTACCTTTCAGCTCTCTCTTCTACCTTTCAGCTCTCTATCTCCTACTTTCAGCTCTCTCTTCTACTTTCAGCTCTCTCTTCATACCTTTCAGCTCTCTCTCTTCCTACCTTTCAGCTCTTCTCTCCAACCTTTCAGCTCTTCTCTCCTACCTTTCAGCTCTCTCTCCTACCTTTCAGCTCTCTCCCATACCTTTCAGCTTCTCTCTTCTACCTTCAGCTCTCTCTCTCCTACCTTTCAGACTCTCTCTATCATACCTTTCAGCTCTCTCTCTCCTACCTTTCAGCATCTCTCTCTCCTACCTTTCAGCTCTCTCTCTCTACTTTCAGCTCTCTCTCCTACCTTTCAGCTCTCTCCCCTACCTTCAGTCTCTCTCTTCTACCTTCAGCTCTCTCTCCTACCTTTCAGCTTCTCTCTCTCCTACCTTTCAGCTCTCTCTCCTACCTTTCAGCTCTCTCTCTCCTACCTTTCAGCTCTCTCTCTCCTACCTTTCAGCTCTCTCTCTCCTACCTTTCAGCTCTCTCTCCTACCTTTCAGCTCTCTCTTCCTACCTTTCAGCTCTCTCTCTCCTACCTTTCAGCTCTCTCTCTCCTACCTTTCAGCTCTCTCTCTCCTACCTTTCAGCTCTCTCTATCCAGTAAACACACAGAAGAAGCTATTTAAATTAGCATAAAAAGGTGGTCCTGTACCTCTCCCAGCCACTTGTTCTTGACGTTGGCCAGGGAGGCGGGGTTGGCCACGGAGTAGCAGATCAGGACCACATCAGCCTGCTGATAGGACATCGGACGGATCTGTCTGAACGTGTCATTTCCTGCCGTGTCCCACAGACCAAGGCTGATCTGGAGAGAAAACAAAGAAATTACATTGTCCTTTTAGTTTTAATTAATCAATTATTTGAATTCTGTCTTTTTCAACTTATTCGAAATCTTGTTTGTAATGTTTTAAATACTTGTGATGTTGAGATGTACTTTAATAAAGCATTAGAAAGCATACACCACAAACAGACTCATTCCAATCTAGTGTAAAGGTCATGAAGGATGAGTGAGGGACATTCCTGATCAGGTGACCTTCAGGCCTCTCCAGTGGGTTGTGATGTTGAAACTACCGTGTTCATGTATTGTGACAGTTAAATGATGTCATGTGTATTATTGTGATAATTCAATGATGTAAAGTGTATTCTTGCGATAGTTAAAATTATGTAGTGTATTTTTCTGATAGTTAAATGATGTAAAGTGTATTATTGCAATAGTTACAATTATGTCATGTGTAGTATTGCGATAGTTCAATGATGTAAAGTGTATTATTGTGATAGTTAAATGATGTGAAGTGTATTATTGTGATAGTTAAATGATGTAAAGTGTATTATTGTGATAGTTAAATGATGTAAAGTGTATTATTGTGATAGTTAAATGATGTAAAGTGTATTATTGTGATAGTTAAATGATGTAAAGTGTACTATTGTGATAGTTAAATGATGTAAAGTGTACTATTGTGATAGTTAAATGATGTAAAGCAGCTCTATTCAACTATATTCTTATGGGTGACAGATGTACAAAAGGTTAATTGCAGGGGGGCCTAATATTTTCCACATGCGATTATTCTTCAGAAGAACTGTAAAAAAATAAAAATAAACAATACACACCAATGAAGCACTTTTCTTCTAATTAAATGTTGCTAAAAGTAATGAATTAGGAAAGAAATGGAGGGTGCTCAACAAACGTGAGTTGAGGTGCAACCAAAACATGTGATCGTCATTGAAAAGGCGCTCGCTCACCATTATTTACTTTATTTCTTGTGATTTTTTACCCCCTTTTTCGTGATTACGATCTTGTCTCATCGCTGCAACTCCCCAACAGGCTCGGGAGAGGCGAAGGTCGAGTCATGCGCCCTCCGAAACATGACCCGCCGAGCCGCACTTCTTAACAACCGCTCGCTTAACCCGGAAGCCAGCTGCACCAATGTGTCGGAGGAAACACCGTTCAACTGACGACCCGACCGAAGTCAGCCTGCAGGCGCCCGGCCCGCCACAAGGAGTCGCTAAAGCGCGATGAGCCAAGTAAAGCCCCCCCCCCCGCCCAAACCCTCCCCTAACCCGGACGACGCTGGGCCAATTTTCCGCCGCGCTCCGGGACTCCCGGTCACAGCCGGTTGTGACACACCAGGCTGTAGCGATGCAGTGCCTCAGACCGCTGCAAGCATTTCAAATAAATAAACACAAAGATATCTCAAATCAGGTACTGCCAAATTCCAGCCTGAAAGAAACATGCTTTGAATTCATTTCCCTCAGCCACTAGGTGGTTTAATCCCACTCTCTAACCAGTCCTTGTGAGCATCACAGAGGGAAACGTGTTCCTGAGAGTTGAAGCTTTTAAGGAATGGGGTCATAATATTTTCTATCTTTAAAACCGTTCAAAACGCTGGAGCCAAAATTCATATGAAGAAAATAGAATCGACATGCCACAGGCGCTAGAAACCACACTATAGACTACCACCATAGACTACCACTATAGACTACCACTATAGACTACCACTATAGACTACCATATAGACTACCACCATAGACTACCACTATAGACTACCACCATAGACTACCACCATAGACTACCACTATAGACTACCACCATAGACTACCACCATAGACTACCACTATAGACTACCACCATAGACTACCACCATAGACTACCACCATAGTGCTTTGGCATTGAATGTCGGATTTTTTTGCAGATCTTTTATTAATGCTATTAATTGATCAAAGGGGCCAGTCTAAATGAATAAACAGGCCGGATCTGGCCCGCGGGCCGCCAGCTGAATAGCCCTGATGTAAAGTGTATTATTGTGATAGTTAAAATTATGTAAAGTGTATTATTGTGATAGGTAAAATGATGTAAAGTGTACTATTGCGATAGTTAAATGATGTAAAGTGTATTATTGTGATAGTTAATGATGTAAAAGTGATTATGTGATAGTTAAATGATGTAAAGGTATTATGTGATAGTTAAATGATGTAAAGGTATTATTGTGATAGTTAAATGATGTAAAGTGTATTATGTGTAAATGATTGTTAAAAGGGTATTATTGTGATAGTTTTAAATGATGAAAGGGTATTATTGTGATAGTTACTGATGTAAAGGAGTATGGGGTAGTTAAATGACTGTAAAAGTGTCTTATTGTGATAGGTTAAATGATGTAAAAGTGTATTATTGTGATAGTTAAATGATGTAAAAGTGTATTATTGTGATAGTTAAATGAGTTAAAGTTGGAGTATTGTGATAGTAAATGAACTGTGTAAAAGTTATTATTGTGATAGTTAAATGATGTAAAAACCACTACCAGTATGTAAAGCGTATTATTCCTACCTGTACCCCGTCCATGAAGACTTCTACTCCAGTGTTCTCGTACACGGTGGGTTTGTAGCAGTCAGGGAAGGTCTCCGAGGTGAAGCGCACCAGGAGGGCCGTCTTCCCAACGGCGCTGTCCCCCACCAGCACACACTTCACCTGGGTCTCTGCTGCTGCGCTCATGGCTGCTCCACTCGGAACCCTGGGGGGGGGTTGAGTTGTAGTCCTGAGGTCCTGTAGAGGAGGGGTTGAGGCGTTCACAGCCCTTGGGGGTTGTAGTTCTTTAGGTGGATGTTGAGTTGTAGTCCTGAGGTCCTGTAGAGGAGGGGTTGAGGCGTTCACAGCCCTGGGGGTTGTAGTTCTTTAGGGAGATGTTGAGTTGTAGTCCTGTTGAGATCAGGGTGTTGTGAGAAAGTCCATAGTGATCACCTTGTGTGTGGAGTCATGATGTAGCTCCATGTGTCTAACTCTCACCACAGAGTGTTTACTGGCTCCACTCGCTGCTACAGTAGAGAAGCTGAGGGGCTCTGACTGTCTTTATAGGGCTTTCGCTCTCTCCCCTCCCCCCCGTCTCTCTTTCTCTCTCTCCACCTCTCTCTCTCGCTCACTCTCCCCGTCTCTCTCTCTCCCTCTCCCCGTCTCTCTCTCTCTCTCTCTCTCTCTCCCTCTCCCCGTCTCTCTCTCTCTCTCCCTCTCCCCGTCTCTCTCTCCCTCTCCCCGTCTCTCTCTCCCTCTCCCCGTCTCTCTCTCCCTCTCCCCGTCTCTCTCTCTCTCTCCCCCCGTCTATCTCTCTCTCTCCGTCTATCTCTCTCTCTCCGTCTCTGTTCCTCTTCACTTACTTCTGTGTCGTCTGCACGGCGATGACACCAGGCTCCGCCTCCTGCGGTCAATCGAGGTCACCTGACATCACAGGTGGTTATTCCGTCCAATCAGGGCCCGGCGTACAGGAGAGAGCTGTGAGGGAGGAGGAGTCAGATGAGGACATCGTAGACTCTAATAAAGGAGAGCTACTGGGTGTGCAGGCTTTCGTTACAGCCCAGCACTAAACACATCAGATTCAGCCAATCATGACCCGGACTGAAGATCATCTGCACTATACAGCAGTAATGTATAGTGACGTCGGGATTTTAGGTCTGCATGTGTGTAAAACGCTGATGTAAAAAGGGCTATATAAAATAAACGATATTGATCGACATTGGCATTATTACGTGTTAGAAAAGCTGAGCATGTACCTTATCCTCTCCGTAGTTAACCAACCATGTATGAGGGACTGAGGAAACAGCACAGACCCATAGTTTTCTAGTGACATTTTTATTTGGATCATTCAATAACAAATTAGCTAATGATGCGCGATTTCGCCTGGCATAGAAAATGTGCTCTCTCGTCGGGACACTGTTGTTCATAATTATTTGACCCCTCTGCAAAACATGACTTAGTACTTGGTGGCAAAACCCTTGTTGGCAATCACAGAGGTCAGACGTTTCTTGTAGTTGGCCACCAGGTTTGCACACATCTCAGGAGGGATTTTGTCCCACTCCTCTTTGCAGATCTTCTCCAAGTCATTAAGGTTTCGAGGCTGACGTTTGGCAACTCGAACCTTCAGCTCCCTCCACAGATTTTCTATGGGATTAAGGTCTGGAGACTGGCTAGGCCACTCCAGGACCTTAATGTGCTTCTTCTTGAGCCACTCCTTTGTTGCCTTGGCCGTGTGTTTTGGGTCATTGTCATGCTGGAATACCCATCCACGACCCATTTTCAATGACCCTGGCTGAGGGAAGGAGGTTCTCACCCAAGATTTGACGGTACATGGCCCCGTCCATCGTCCCTTTGATGTGGTGAAGTTGTCCTGTCCCCTTACCAGAAAAACACCCCCAAAGCATAATGTTTCCACCTCCATGTTTGACAGTGGGATGGTGTTCTTGCGGTCATAGGCAGCATTCCTCCTCCTCCAAACACGGCGAGTTGAGTTGATGCCAAAGAGCTCGATTTTGGTCTCATCTGACCACAACACTTTCACCCAGTTCTCCTCTGAATCATTCAGATGTTCAATGGCAAACTTCATACGGGCATGTATATGTGCTTTCTTGAGCAGGGGGACCTTGCGGGCGCTGCAGGATTTCAGTCCTTCACAGCGTAGTGTGTTACCAATTGTTTTCTTGGTGACTATGGTCCCAGCTGCCTTGAGATCATTGACAAGATCCTCCCGTGTAGTTCTGGGCTGATTCCTCACCGTTCTCATGATCATTGCAACTCCACGAGGTGAGATCTTGCATGGAGCCCCAGGCCGAGGGAGATTGACAGTTATTTTGTGTTTCTTTCATTTGCGAATAATCGCACCAACTGTTGTCACCTTTTCACCAAGCTGCTTGGCGATGGTCTTGTAGCCCATTCCGGTCTTGTAGCCCATTCCAGCCTTGTGTAGGTCTACAATCTTGTCCCTGACATCCTTGGAGAGGTCTTTGGACTTGGCCATGGTGGAGAGTTTGGAATCTGATTGATTGATTGCTTCTGTGGACAGGTGTCTTTTATACAGGTAACAAGCTGAGATTAGGAGCACTCCCTTTAAGAGTGTGCTCCTAATCTCAGCTCGTTACCTGTATAAAAGACACCTGGGAGCCAGAAATCTTTCTGATTGAGTGGGGGTCAAATACTTATTTCCCTCATTAAAATGAAAATCAATTTATAACTTTTTTGACATGCATTTTTCTGGATTTATTTGTTGTTATTCTGTCTCTCACTGTTTAAATAAACCTACCATTAAAATTATAGACTGATCATTTCTTTCTCAGTGGGCAAACGTACAAAATCAGCAGGGAGATCAAATACTTTTTTCCCCCCCTCACTGTATTCTACTGACTACTAACTAGGCTACTCACTCTACAATGGCCGCCCCGGGGCCAAATGCAGACCACAACAGACTTTGAAGGAGTGTTGGCTTGAAGCCAACTGATCATATATTAAAAGGTGTAGGAAGGATACAATGGTATTGTTATTCACATTGGGAATGTCTGCGTTTTTTGCTTAAAAGACTTACACATTCATCATTACTTTATAAAAGACAACAGATTAGAGAGTTAAGGGTTATTCAAAACAACATCTACCCCCATGAAGGTTGAAAAGCTCTGTTCTTCACCCTGCCGTGATGGCTGACATTTAGTTGTAGCCTTGTTTCCCCCACATCATGACTGTCTAGAAGTGTAGGGTAGGCCTTCCAAGCTAAACTTCAGCCATTAAAATGGAGCCTATTTATTTGAAACCAAATGTAGGAGATTAATGTTGTCGTTTACCATTTTATTGGAGACACAAATAGTTAAAATTGGGTAATAACATTTTTTGGGGGTAGGACTTGTTTAAACATTGAATATAAAATCTGCCAAATTCGATAATGATCTTCTTCTGTGACTCTCCAATACATCAATTTATTCAAAGTTGACTCATATTAATTATTAATTCTGGCTGGATTAAAACAAAAGCCATGAAAACAATGGGAAGGAACAAAGAAAGGAACAGAACAGAGATAACTCACCGTGTTGTCAGCCGTCTACCCCGCAGCCTGTCTTCATGGTGGCCAACGGGCGGATGCTTCGCTTGAGCTCAAAGCATTTTTCACTCGGGAGACGGTTTGGTGCCTCGGTAAAAGTAACGTATTTTTTTTTAACGAAATATACATCAGGCTACTTTATAAATACTGCTTAAAGCGAAACTAAATAACCTAATTAATATACACGCACAAACTACTTATAAAAGTGTATATGTGTGTCACTGCACTGCTTGCTACTTCTCTTTACAAACAGTGCGGAGGGAAGTGAGACGCGCTCTCTCTCTCCCTCCCAGCATCCGTTTGTAGAGTGTGGAGGTGTGATGATGCCGTTTCATTTCTGCTCGAACTGATTTTCAGCGTCTCTCTCTCACTCACTCACCAAGTAGCTGGTGTTTTTGATCGTGGTGCGCTTCGACGCGCACTTGTTGGATAGCCAACTTTACGCAGTAGCTTTGAGTTCATTTGTTACAGGTGTTCATGTAAATGTGGCGTGTAGCCTCATAACGACCGATAAGAGTTGGAGGATAAGTGAAATAAATGAAAGTTAATTATGACCAAGAGATTTTCCTAACGCATCCTCTAGTTAGGATATGTGAATTGACAAAAAGGACCCTAGCATTCTCTGTAGACGAATACCGGTATATTAACTATTTGGTCAAATGTTATCCGTTACGCCGTGCGCACGACATGGAACAAACAATTGCGCGTCATGTTTACCGAAAGGAAAGTAGCGAGAAATTACCGACACCGTAGGTGCGTTCAGTTCGCTTGAACGTTTGCTACGTCACTGAACGAGTTGTGCTGAAGGACACGTTTAACACAAAACGTTATTGTACGGGACTTTGAGGTACGTTTGCTCCCGTTCGGTGGGGTGTGGCTTCAAGCAATGAGTGACGTATTTCAACGGCAGTGGCCCATGCATGACAGCGTTCCCCAAACAACAACATCGCCGTTTTTCAACTGGTCGTTCAGTACATCACCGTTTCCGCTCAATTACACGTTCCAGAACGTAATAACGTACTGAACGCAGCCCGTGAGTCAGAAGTACCGTTCCTTCTCCTTCTCTACGGGGATACGTCACGAGAGCGTTAAAGGGGTTGGGGAAGGACCGGATAAACGGCCGTTTCCAGACTAGCGCCTGGTTGCCAGTAAACTAAAAACACACACACAAAAGTGAACAGACAATATTCTTTATTGAAATATAATTTGTAAAAAATAAAAGAAAAAATAGATAAAAGAAAATTATCAACAATTATGAATATAAAAATATACATTTTTCTTGTGTAGCCTACAATTCACTTTTTAGGAGTCAGTCCCTTTGGCTTAATGTTAAAAAGGACAACATGTCACCACGGTAAAGAATTGGGGAACACTTTATTTGGATAGTCCATCTGTAGATGCTCTGCTGACTATCAGTAGGGGGGGTCCCCTGTAGCTCAGTTGGTAGAGCATGGCGCTTGCAACGCCAGGGTTGTGGGTTCGTTTCCCACAGGGGGGCCAGTATGAGAAAAAATAAATAAAAAATGTATGCACTCACTAACTGTAAGTCGCTCTGGATAAGAGCGTCTGCTAAATGACTAAAAACAGTTTTAAAAAAAAAATATCTGTAACATCTTAACTATCTACTAACCTTAAGCCTTATCCTAACCCTAAACTTAACCCTTACCGTAACCTTAGCAAGCACTTGTAATGTCCACGTTCATGTTTTAAAATGTATGTAAATTGTAAAAGTATTTTTCATTATGTGTCGGACCCCAAGAAGACTAGCTGTCGCCATTGGCGTCGGCTAACGGGGGATCCTAATCAATATCAGAGTTATCAACAGATCAGGTTAGTCCCTCCCCCTGTTTCCTCCTGTTTGGTTCCCAGTGAATACACCCCCCCCCCCGCTGCACTGCAACCAACCATGATAATGGCGCTTTGGAACAAAAACCTGCTGAACGGCAGAAACTGTTTTAGAAACACAACTCCCCGGTTTGGCTTCAGAGGCAACGTCCCAAATGCCTCCCTATATTCCCCCGGACAGAGAATAGGGTGTCACCTGGGACGGCCAGAGAGTAGAACAAAACCAAACGCTTTTTCTGGGTCATTCGGTAACTGAGAGCGTAGTGCATTACCTTTGGCAAGGCTGTTTCTGGGTCATTCGGTAACTGAGAGCGTAGTGCATTACCTTTGGCAAGGCTGTTTCTGGGTCATTCGGTAACTGAGAGCGTAGTGATTTTCCTTTGCAAGGCTGGGTTTTTGGGTCATTCGGTAACTGAGAGCGTAGTGCTTTACCTTTGGCAAGGCTGTTTCTGGGTCATTCGGTAACTGAGAGCGTAGTGCATTACCTTTGGCAAGGCTGCGTTGTGTAGTGCACTACACAGGGATTAGGGTGCCATTTGGGATTCGCTCAAATCGCTTTAAAAAAAAAATTGGGAGCATCAGCTATTCTTCAGATGACGTTCCCAAATTATAAATCACTTCTGATCTAATGTATAAACGGCCAGATATCAGACCCCAACATCCAGGTGAATACACTTCTGATCTAATGTATAAACGGCCAGATATCAGACCCCAACATCCAGGTGAATACACTTCTGATCTAATGTATAAACGGCCAGATATCAGACCCCAACATCCAGGTGAATACACTTCTGATCTAATGTATAAACGGCCAGATATCAGACCCCAACATCCAGGTGAATACACTTCTGATCTAATGTATAAACGGCCAGATATCAGACCCCAACATCCAGGTGAATACACTTCTGATCTAATGTATAAACGGCCAGATATCAGACCCCAACATCCAGGTGAATACACTTCTGATCTAATGTATAAACGGCCAGATATCAGACCCCAACATCCAGGTGAATACACTTCTGATCTAATGTATAAACGGCCAGATATCAGACCCCAACATCCAGGTGAATACACTTCTGATCTAATGTATAAACGGCCAGATATCCAACACTTCTGATTAACTTCTAGTGGTCTGTTAAAGCGTATATAACCCCCACACATTCACCATTACAGAAATATAAGGTTCAGCTAAATTATATTCACTTAAGTTTGACATGGTTGTATAAAATGTATCTAAAAATTTTAATGTAATATCTCCAGTATAACCATGTTAATGTATCTAAAATCTAAATGTAATATAATTTAATGGACTCTTGCTCTGTCATTGTTTGTAAAACCCTGATAAAGTTAAATACAAAAAAACAAATATTGTACAAACTGGCACAGTGAAGACATAAAAGAGAGATTAAGACGTTTTCTTTGGCAGCTATTAAAATAATTGTTAGGGAGAGAGAGGAGAGAGAGAGAGAGAGGGAGAGAGAGAGAGAGAGAGAGAGAGAGAGAGAGAGAGAGAGGTTTTTTTGTGTATGTAAGAGAGGAAGTGGTAGAGGTAGATTCCAGGGTAGATTCCAGGGGAGAAAGGGAGAGGAGGAGTGTCTTGATGAGGACAGTCAGCCACATGACAGATTCATCTCAGTTCAGACACACCAACAACAGACCTGGCTTAGGCTCAGTAAACCTGGAGAGAGAGAGAGAGGGGGAGAGAGAGAGAGAGAGGGGGTTGGAGGGGAGAGGGAGAGAGAGGGGGGAGAGGGAGAGGAGAGGGGTGGAGAGGGAGAGCGCGATAGAGGAGAGAGAGAGAGAGAGGGAGGGAGAGAGAGAGGGGGAGAGAGAGAGAGAGGGGAGAGAGAGAGAGAGAGGGGGGGAGAGAGGAGAGAGGGGGAGGGGAGAGGGAGGAGGGGAGGAGGGGAGAGGGGGAGAGAGAGAGGGGGAGAGGGGGAGGGGGGGGAGAGGGAGAAGGAGAGAGGGGGGAGAGGAGAGAGAGAGGGAGAGAGGAGGGGAGAGAGGAGAGGGGAGAGGGAGGGGAGAGGGGGGAGAGGAGAGGGGGAGAGAGCGAGGGGGGAGAGAGAGAGAGAGGGGAGAGACAGGGGGGAGAGAGAGGGGGGGAGAGGAGGGGGGAGAGAGGGGGAGAGAGAGGGAGAGGAGACAGGAGAGAGAGAGAGAGAGAGAGAGAGGGAGGGGAGGGGGAGAGAGGAGAGAGGGAGGAGGAGAAGAGAGGGGGGGGAGAGAGAGAGGGAGAGGGAGAGGGAGAGGGGGAGGGGAGAGAGAGGGGGGGAAGGGAGAGGGGAGGGAGGGGGAGAGAGGAGAGGGGGGAGATGGAGGGGGGAGAGGACGCGAGGAGAGGGGAGAAAAGGGAGGAGAGGAGGAGAGAGGCGGGGGGAGAGAGAGAGAGGGGAGGGAGGGAGAGGGAGGGGAGAGAGAGGGAGAGAGAGAGGAGGGAGAGAGGGGGAGAGAGAGAGGAGAGGCGAGAGAGATGAGAGGGAGACAGAGGAGAGAGGAGGAGAGAGGAAGAGGAGAGAGAGGAGGAGAGGGGAGGGAGAGAGAGAAGGGGGAGGGAGAGGAGGAGAGGGGGAGGATGGAGAGAGGGGAGAGGGAAAAGGGAGGGAGAGGGAAGAGAGGGGAGAGGAGAGGGAGAGAGAGAGAGAGGGAGGAGAGAGGGAGAGGGAGAGGGAGAGGAGGCAGAGAGGAGGAGGGAGACAGATCAAATGATTGGTGTGTACCGTAGCTAGTGGTATGATGTAGTGTGTGTTGTGTGTGTGTGGGGGTTGTAGTAGCGGTAGGTGTGGGTGTGGGGTGAGGGGTGGGTTGGTGTGTGTGACGTAGTGGTGTTGGGAGGTGTGGTTGATGTGACTGGGGTTGTGGGGGTGGGGGACCAGTGGTAGGGTGGTGGTCCTAGTGTGTGGTGGGTGGGACCTGTAGGCTGTGGGTGTGTGGGGGAGTAGTGAGTGGGTGTGAGGGGGGGGGGGAGGGAGGGGGGGGTGGGGGGGGAAGAGGGGGGGGGTGGGGAAAGGGGGGGGGGGGGGCAAGGGGGGGGGGAGAGGGGGGGGGGGGGGGGGGTTTGGGAGAGGGGGGGGGTGTGTACCTATGTTTTTGGGTGGGTGTACTGTGGTGGTGTGTGGGTTGGGTGTGGGTCATGAGTTGTGGGTTTGTGGTTTGTGTGGTGGTTACTGGGTGTGTGTGGGGTGTGTGTTGTGGTGTTTGTGTGTGTTGTGGGTGTGGGTGTTGGTACCTGTAGGGGGGGGGTGTGAAGTTGTGTGTGTGTGTTACCTGTAGTGGTGTGTGTGTGGGGTGTGTACTGGAGTGTGTGGGGGTTGTGTGTGTCTGTAG